TGGTTTTTCCCTTTTTGGACTATTTTTGCTGCAATAGCTACCACCCCCCTTTCCCCACCCGTTGGGAAAAACGTTGGGCCAAATCTGCTCGGTAACAAAAAACCCCCCCTTTTTTAAAATTTTTTTATTAAAACCGAAACATAGGTTTTTCTGGGCCTCTTTTTGTCATCAGTGCCGAGGTTGGGGGACCCAAATCTCCCCGCCTTCGCATTGGGGCACACCCCGTCTTACCCAAGGGGGGATCCCCAAAGGGGAGGACCCTGTTTCCCCTCTGTAAACAGTGTCAAGTTCCAGTATCGATTTGCCCCATTCTTTAGACTGCCCTCTCAACAAAAAACACGCAGAATTTACCTCCCAAATCGTCTTTGGGTTTTACTACTCTCTCTTTACCTTCCCCTTTTTTGCTGATGGACCCTCCTTTAATCCGACTCTCCTTGACTTCTTTTTTCAACGACTGATTTACTCCCAAACTCTGATGATACTTTTCGCCCCTCCCCCCCTTTCCCCGCCCTTTTTTAGTTTAGTCTCCCTTTCTGCCCTTTACCCTTTCACCCCTCCACTACCCCGCTGTTAACCTAAAACCCATTACCTTTATCCATCCCCCTTTTTCCACCGATGCCCTCGCTTCCCCTTCCCCCCCCTGGGATTCTGTATTTTCCTGGGCTTAGCGCTTTTTTTTTTGATTATAATTTAAAAAAAATGAAAAAATATATTTTAAACCCTCCAACAATGTGTCCCAAACCTTTAAAACCCCCCCGATATCCCTTTTTAAAAACCCCTAAAAAGAACCTTTTTAAAAAAATAAATTAAAAATTTCTCACACTCCCAAAAAGCTTGTTTAGTCCCAAAAAAAACCCTTTTGCTCCCTTTCATTTCCTATCTAACCCACCAAGCCCCGCTTGCTGGAATTATTTAAAAAAATAAAAAGAAGTTTTAAAACCATAAAAGGGGTTTCTGAAAGTCCAAGCCCCTTTACCCAAAAAAACCCCCTTTTAAAAAACCCTCTCCCTCCAACCCCTTTTTGGAAAACGAAACCCCCAAACCCCCCCCTTTCCTTTCCCCCACAGATTTTAAACGCTCTCCATGTCAATTTTACTTTGATCCATTCTCCTAAATGACCAAAACCCCCTCAACAAAACCCCCCTTCAAAGCCCTCTAACACTTTTTTTTAACCCAACACCTTCTCCTAATTTCCACACTTCAATTTCTCTGCATAATATTTACACCACACCAGGACATCTCCACTGCCTCCAACCGCCTCCTCGCTGCAGCATTTACAACCCAAGCTTCACACCCATATAAGTGTTGGCATCACTATACTTTCAGTACAGTACTATTAAGAAATAATTCTAGATCATATGGACCATAGATCTTTCATGATGAACCAGGTCAATAAATAATGAAGCAGTCAGGAAGTGTAAATGCTGTTTACTAAGTACGAAGGTAATAAGAGATTACTGTGAGTTTAATCCACATACTTGATTCTAGATTAATAATATCTTTATTTACTACAAGTACATGTACAAGGTATACAGACCTAACTGACATCAGTGACATACTACTATATAGAAAACCCCTTGTTATGCTGAGCATTTCGGGCAAATTAGGTCAGTTTTGTCCCAGGATGTGATCCTCACCAGTCGACTAACACCCAGGTACCCATTTTACTGATGGGTGAACATAGCCAACCAGTGTTTCTACCCCGGCTGGGAATCAAACCCAGACCCTCACTGTGACAGACACACAAATTAAGAAGTTCCTGCTGTATGCGATTTTCTTATTATTCTTTCTATTTGTATTTAAACTTCCATTGTTATCTGTCTGCATTTTGAACATTTGTTTTTGTTCATGTACTAGTTTCTAATACTAAAATCTGCACACGTGTATTTTTTTCTCATTATTGTGCATGTGAACATGAAAATGGTATACAGGACTGACAGGTTGATAAGACGTGCAACAGTTAGGTACAGTGGAACCTCAAAAATCAAACTTAATCCATTCCAGGAGCTAGTTCTAAATTCGAAAAGTCTGAAATTCGAAGTATTTCCCATAAGAAATAATGGAAATACAATTAATCCGTTCCAGAAATCCAAAAATATTCACACAAAAAATACATTTTATAGAGATTAATTACAGTTTTACATACAACAAATACTATAGTTTTTAATTATGTATAGAAATACATATAAAATAACATTTTTATTTACCCTTATTGAAGATTGGTGATGGCATCTGGAAGATAGGGAGGAAGAGAGAGGGAGTTGGGGTTAGTGTTTGGAAGGAGAATCCCCCTCCATGAGGACTTCAGGTACAGCCCTCTCTGGGGTTACTTCCCTTCTCTGTCTTTTAATGCCACTAGGACCAGCTTGAGTCACTGGACCCCTGTCTCACAAAATAACTGTCCACAGTCCTCTGTTTCTGGCACCTCTAACATTTCCCTAAAATGGGACATGGTTCTGTCACTGAACTTGTTGCAAAGATGGCTTGTTTCAGTTTGCTCAGGGTGGTACTTCTGCACAAACATTTGGACATCATTCCACTTGGCACAAATCTCCTTTATCTTTGAAGAAGGCACCTCATCCACTCCCTCTTCCTCCTCTGAAGCAAGTTCCTCAGCTGTGGTCTGATGCTGCTCCAGATGAAGCTCTTGCAGCTCTTCAGTGGTTAGCTCTTCCCTGTGGTCCTCCACCAACTCTTCCACATCCTCACCACTCACCTCCAACCCCAGGGTGTTCCCCAATGCCACAATAGAGTCCACAACAGGCAGAGGGTGAGCTGGGTCAGGGTCAGCCTCAAACCCTTCAAAATCCCTCTGTTGGACACAATCTGGCCAAAATTGTCTCCAAGCAGAGTTCAAAGTCCTGGAAGTCACTCCCTCCCAAGCCTTACCTATAAGGCTTATGGAGATGTAGATGTTGAAGTGATTCCTCCAGAACTCTCTTAGGGTCAACTTAGTGTCTGTGGTCACTTCAAAGTACTTTTCAGACACTGTTTTTGTGTAGAGTTTTTTGAAGTTAGAAATGACCTGCTGGTCCATGGGCTGGAGGAGAGGAGTGGTGTTAGGAGGCAAGAACTTCACTTTTATAAAACTGAAGTCCTTAGACAAGAGGTCTAATAAGTTTGGAGGATGAGCAGGAGCATTGTTCATTAACAGGAGGCACTTGAGTGGCAATTTCTTTTCCTGGAGGTATTTTTTCACGCTGGGGCCAAACACTTCATAGACTCACTCTTTGAAAATTTGTCTTGTGACCCATGCCTTATGATTAGCTTTCCACAAGACACATAACTTGTTCTTAAAGACATTGTTTTTCTTAAACACTCTGGGATTTTCTGAATGATACACAAGTAAAGGCTTCACTTTAAAATCACCACTAGCATTAGCACAGAACAAAAGAGTAAGCCTGTCTTTCATAGGCTTGTGTCCTGGCAGTGCCTTTTCCTCCTGTGTGATGAAGGTCCTTTTAGGCATTTTCTTCCAAAACAAGCCTGTTTTGTCACAATTAAACACTTGTTCAGGTTTGAACTCTTCACTGTCTATGTACCCCTTAAACTCCTGTACAAACTTCTTGGCCGCCCGTTTGTCTGAACTGGCTGCCTCACCATGTCTTACAACATTGTGTATACCATTACGCTTCTTAAATCTGTCAAACCAGCCTCTGCTGGCCTTAAATTCACTATCAGCATTAGTTCCAGGAGTTTTCTGTACCAGATCGGCATGCAACTTCCTTGCCTTTTCGCAAATAATCGTCTCTGAAACACTATCACCTGCAATCTCTTTATCCTTGATCCACACCAGCAACAACTTCTCAGCCTCTTCAACTATTTGTGGTCTTTTTTTGGTTAGCATATTAACACCTTTCGCAACATCAGCTTCCTTGATTTGTTCTTTCTTTGCCAGGATAGAACCGATGGGCGACTTGTTTTTCCCATACATCCTGGCAAGCTTAACAAGTCTCGCACCACTCTCATACTTCTGTATTATTTCCTTCTTCACATCTATGGTGTTTCTCACTTTCTTTACCACAGGGGTACCACTAGCAAGTTTCTTTGGGCCCATGGTAGCTTATTTTACAGTCCCACAAGTACTAAACACAACGAAATAATCATAAAATGCATGAATGAGAGCGCAGGTTAGTGTTCACTCAAGCATAAACAAAGCTAGAAAGCTCACGGCGCCTATGCGGACAGAGCGGGCCGGCAGACAGGTCCCGTACCCAGCAGTCCGAAAATAGGGGCATGTTCGATAATAGGGACACAGTTTGTCCGAAAAAATGGTCCTATTTTCGAAACGTTCGATTTTTGAGGTTCCACTGTATCTTTATTCTGAAACGTTTCACCTACACAGTAGGCTTCTTCATTTTAGTAAAGAAGAGTTAGCAGAAGCAGTAGAGATGTGAAGATGATGTAATCAGTCCATCCCCCTTGAAGATGTAGTTTTGAGGTAGCCAGTCCCTCAGCCTAAAGAAGAGCAAAACTCATCTCCAGGCTGAAGGACTGACCACCTCATAACTACATTTCCAAGGGTGATGGACTGATTACATCGTCTTCACATCTCTACTTCTGCTAACTCTTCTGTACTCAAATGCAGAAGCCTACTGTGAAGGCAAAATGTTCTGTAATAAAGATACCTAACTGTTGCACATGTGTCTTACTCATTGTACATGTGCATCTAGTCTAGGCAGACATACTGCAGTATTAATACTTGCAAGAATACAATGCTCAAAAAGTTTTACTTACTAGTTAGTCATAGAAGAGCCTGTGGAATAGGAGGCAATCATGTTCATTCCAAAGAAGGGTAGCTCTGTTTTCTTTGATCAACAGCTCTTCACAGTCATTACAGGGAAGCCTTCTCTGAGCAAAGAAAAGGCATATTGTTATGAGTGCTTTAAAATTTCTTAGGAATTTCTGAATGCAGTGCAGGTTTTGATTACATTATTTAATTCAAGTAAAAATAATATATTTACATTTTATAATATTGACTGTCCTTATACTAATCCCAGGTGGTTACTCATAAACTCCACTGACCCAGCAGAAGAGCTTCAGTGGTTTATCTATGAACTACAAGGAGCAGAAGATAGAGGAGAAAAAGTGCATGTGTTGGGTCACATTCCCCCAGGCCACCATGACTGTCTTAAGATCTGGAGTCATAATTACTACAAAATCATCAACAGGTAATCTATATATTTAAGAGCTCCTATTTTTTCTTCATTACTGTTTCCTTTTGAATCAGTCAGGTAGCTCTCCATGCATCTCAGGTATTTATAAACATTTTATAGAGGACTTCTCTTACCACTGTGAGTCAAAACCCATAAAAGCTGAGTTTTTAACACCCAATTTTAAAACTGGCCGATAACTTTTTGATTTTGTCAAAAATTATTTTTTAGTATTCGCAAACCACGTTAATTTAGTATTTTAATTTCTCAGATTTGAATCAACCATTACTGCTCAGTTCTTTGGACATACTCACTTTGATGAATTTGAGTTGTTCTATGATGAATATGATCGCCATCGTGTCACAAATATCGCTTATATTGGACCATCTGTAACATCCTACTACAAACTTAATCCTGGCTACAGAATATATACTATTGAAGGAGAATATACAGGCTCTCAAAAGGTTTGTCACTAGTTGTGTTTCTGCAGTTTTTAACTATAATAAGTTAATTTATTATTTAACCCTTTCACTGACTGTCCTGTAGTATGGCTTTGAGGTCACTGTCAGTGCTGTAGTACTATGCCATGAGCTCAGCTCACTCAGATAAGCTGTGAGTGGTAAATTTCAGCCTAGATATGAGAGAATGGGTCTTTGTGATAAATGTGCACTATATAATACAAAAATCCTGCAGCACGCAATGCATAATGAGAAAAACCAACAAAATGTTTGTAAGTGTTTTTAGTTTAAAATAGCAACTTTGCAGTGTATTTTTATATGGGTTTTATGGTTGTATTCTCAGTTTCTTGGTCTCATTTGATAGACTGGAAGATATATTAAAGACATATAATGTGAAGAAATATATACAAAAGATGAGGTAATCAGTTCTCAGCCTTGGAGTTGGTGAAGAACAGCATAGTCTTGAAGGAACTGAAGCAGTCATGAAGCTTGGTTCTTAAATACCGGCGACAGGTGAAGGACGGGCAGTAGACAAAGAGACAAAGGCATTGTCATTGGTAGGTGGGAATCCCCCAATGGAAGTAAGTTATACCTAAGGAGTGGGCCAGTAGACAGCAAGAAGGTTGTGTAGATGTCCTCTGTACCAAGATTTCATGATGTTGTGCCAGGCTCCAGTTCCTTTAAGACTACAGGTACTCTTCACCAATTCCAAGGCTGAGGGACTGATTACCTCATCTCTTGTATATATTTCTTCACATTATGTCCTTGTATTGTTAAAGCAACTAGTTGGCAAAACATCTACAAATAAAGATACCCAGATGTTGCATGTGTGTCTTTCTCACCTTAAAAATGAACTTAGTCATACACCTGTTAAATTACTGCACTATAATGATCTTTTTGTAATGCATTTTTGAGGAAAATTTTCATCTTGGAGTATGGTAAATGCTGTCAAATGACAGATTATAATCCATTGTGAGCAGTATTTTAACTGTATTTAGTGACATATATTTTGGGGTATAAATGTATGTTATTTGTCAGGTAATCTCAAACTTTTATCTTATTTTTATACCAAGGGTTTATTTTAGTATTTTATCACATGAGAATACTTTTGCCTGTTCCCCTCCTACCTGTATCAGGCTCACTAATAAAGTGAGCCTGATACAGGTAGTATCTCTATTTAAATAGAAAAAAATAAGCAAAGTTGCTCATGCATGAATTATCACTGCTTCATTATATAATCCTTATGTATTAACACAGTTCATGTTTAGAGTTGAAAATAACAGATAAAAAAGTTTAGTGGCCTTACTTCTGTCATCAGCTTGTGCTGGATCATGAGACATGGGTCATGAACTTGGATGAAGCCAACAGAGATGGAGTTCCCAGATGGTATCAACTGTATTCAGCTAAAAGAGCTTACAACATGAGGAATTTGCTTCCAGAAGAGTGGAACAGTTTAGTTTATAAGATGGCATTAGAAGATGATCTTTTTGAAAAATATCTCAGGTATGTAAAATCATTGAGCTATAATCACAAAATGTGCTAAAAACATTTACCTCAAAAATAAATATGAAATATTTGAATAAGCAACAGTTAATTGTTAACATTTCACATCTGATTTTACTTTTAACAGATTTTACTGGAAGAATTCTGTAGTACGTGAACCGTGTGATCCAGAGTGCAAGAAACGAATGTTGTGCGATTTGAAATCTGGCAGGTCTAACGATCGCAAGCATACATGTGCCAAGATTAAAAAACAGATCGAAAATCGGGAATGGAAGGACTGGAAGAACTGGATTTTCTCAGGACTAACCATTACGTACGATTGGTTTAGCTATTTTTTTTAATTATTAATTTGCATGCTTCCTTTTTGCATAACAATGAAAAGAGAAACTGCATGTGAATTTTTTGAGCTTTAAAAATATTAATGCTAAACTTAAATATTCATAACAATGAAAAACGATTGTATTAATTGAACTCTTGTAGTAACCTGCACCTTTTGAAGCCAAGTAAATTTTATTACATTTGCTTTTCTTACACATCAGGAGGCAGTCATATAAAACTGCTTTTAATGATTTTTGCAAGTAACTCTTAAGTATATGAACTTTAATTCATAAATATTTTCTTAAAGCATTTTGGAAATACAGTGGACCCCCGGTTAACGATATTTTTTCATTCCAGAAGTATGTTCAGGTGCCAGTACTGACCGAATTTGTTCCCATAAGGAATATTGTGAAGTAGGTTAGTCCATTTCAGACCCCCATACATACACATACAAACGCACTTACATAAATACACTTACATAATTGGTCGCATTGGGAGGTGATCGTTAAGCGGGGGTCCACTGTATTTCACTCCTAGGACCTTGGTTACTGCAAATTATACAATAGACTGAGAGAATACTAAAATAAATTATATACATCCACTGGACTAACAGTTCTCAGACACCAGGCACCCAGTGAAACTGGGCAAGTTTTCCCAGATACAAGAACATACGTAGTGGTGGAGCCTCAGAGACTAATTTCAACCTCATTCTGTTTGGATACCAACCTTTACGAGCAGTCTATATACGAATGAAATCATGAAACAAATGATTTTGAATCATTAACAGAACTGCGGCTAGCCAGGATTCGATCCTGCATCACCATGCCCAGCCCTGTGAGAACAGGACAATGTATGCATCACTTTATCAACTGGACTAACAATTCTCAACACTCAAACAGGAAGTTTGTTCTTGCATCTGGAAAAACACGCCTGGTGTTTGATACTTGTTGGTCCAGCAGACAGTCATGTGTACACTGTTCTGTTCTCACAGGGTTCAGGTAAAGGATATGTGTCTTTTTACAATAATTTATAATTTTCTTTGCAGAAGAAACTAATTATTTAGATGAGCTAATCTGAATAGTTATAATTTGTGCCTCAGTATGTTTTCCAGTTTATTTCAGAATTGCTCATTCTTGTTTATAATATCTCAGGTCACTGGCAACTTGGTGGTTTTGGGGCTGATGTGCGATATCAGGATGGAACACTGATTAGTCTGAAACTGAGACCATCGTCTGCCATTGCTAGAACAATACTGAATGTACACTATATTTGTAAGATAGGAAATATTACAAGTTTTAAGTAAATTATGATTGTTTCATTCAACCTTTAATTCATAATATATACAGCACTGCATTATTTACTGATGAAGCTTGCTTGACAGTGCTGTGCTGTACTGTACTGTACAATAGTACATATTTCTTTTGCAGTAAATTGAAGTTTTAAAGGTATATTGTGCTCACAGAAATTAAATGTGCATATACAGTACTTCTAATCCTCCTTAACAGATAGCAGCACATACTCATTGATGGTAGTTTTTCAGCAAGCCAACCAATAAAATTACAGCAAACATTTCATAAAACAGATTAATAGGGGAAAGAGATGTTCACTTTAGAAAAAAAATCCATTTTGAAAGTTTTGATTAAGTGGATGCAGGCCACTAATTGACTGACTTCCGGACCAGACGACTGTCTGATATAGCAGATTTGGTCCACTTCATATCTATTTTAATCAGACATCCCATTAAATGTATACATTAAGCCCTTGTCTGGCCAGATTTTTTTTATCCATTTTTGCCAACATCTACTTCATGGAGGTCCATTTTACCAGATGTTCACTGTAATTGTCCTCGAAGGTACTGTCCTGGGCTGCCTTCTCTTTTTTTTCCTCTATATTAGTGAGTTGCTGAATCCCCCACAGCATCATAAGCCAGTGCTGCTTCCTGATGACACAACAAACTTATAATCTGGGCCATGATTTTGAACAAATGTGAACTTAAAATGTTTATACCTAGGTAATAACAAATAAAATGACCCTTAATAGTAGAAAAAACGTTCTTAAACTTTTGGGAATAAACCTTGTCCACAACTGGATATCAAAATTAATGAATTTGAAGCAGGGAATATGTATGAGGGTAAGTTCCTAGTTTACTCATAGATAAATTAAAATTTAATGCTTATATCAAGAAGATAATAATTTAAAAAATTTAATGCTCTGTCAAGTAGCAAAAAGCTGTTAGTATAATTTAACACTACTCTCATTTACCTAAACCTCAGTTATGAAACTTGTGCTTGGGGTTTTACCTCAGCTGTCCACCAAGTTGAGTACCATACTGTCTTGGACACCTCTTTGCATCCAATGTGCCTACATTCACCACCCTTATATATTGTGCCACAAATCTGCACAAGTCCAGGTCCTGTCACCTTGTGGGGACGACCTAGGTTGATGCTACCTGGTTTAGGTTTAAATTGAATTAGAACAAGATAACACAATCATTCAGGAATAATATTTATAATAAAGATAAACAATTTGTGAATGAAATAATGAAGTTTATAGTAACTTATTACTCATAATTTTAAAACTGGAAATTTCTCACAATCATGACTAAACATAAAAAAATATACTTAATAGCCTCTTATTTGGACCAGCTTAGCTAATGACATCTTGGAGACTCAAGCCAATATTAAAAATTATACACAAATAACCTGCACTTAGAAGAGGAAACTCATGATAACGTTTTGATTCATCTTGGACCACTGACAAGTCATACTGAAGCAAGAGGTGAAGGCCAAAATATATGAGAGGGTGGGGGAAAATGGAGTAGCAGTAGCAGTAATAATATAGGTGGAGGGCATAAAATAGCGGCAAGAGTAGTAAGGTAGTCTAAAGTGTCGTAAGTTTCCTTTCCTAAGCACAAGTTGTGTACTGTTCCAGCCATGGTATCCTACAACCTCTTATATAAACTCAATAATAAAATTATTAAAAATACAGTAATCACGCTGAAATTTTCACTAATATACAAATAGGGATGACTCTATACATAGTGAGGGAATATGATTTTTGTTATCTGGGGTATTTTCCTTGCTAGGGCAGCTGTGGTATGGAGATTATGTAAGTGCTGCCCCTATCTATGCATTTGCAAAGCAGAGAAACTCATAACTCGACTCACGAAATCGTAAATAACAAAAAAAGGCACAATACCGTGACTGGAACGATACAAATAACCCGCACATAAGAGAGAAGCTTACGACGACGTTTCGGTCCGACTTGGACCATTGACAAAGTGACTGTCATTGATCCAAGTCGGACCGAAACGTCGTCGTAAGCTTCTCTCTTTTATGTGCGGGTTATTTGTGTAACGAAATCGTAATGACACGATTGCAAACAAACCATACCACGGACGGGGATAGAACCCGCGATCAGAGAGTCTCAAAACTCCAGACCGTGGCGTTAGCCACGGTCTGTAAGTTTCTGCTAGCCTGGGTATTAAGCCCGGCTTTTGAGCTGCAGCACTCGAGTGGACAATCTACTTCTACAGTAAGTGGTAAGAGGTAAAATGGAAAATTACTGCAATGCACCATTCCATCGTAACCTACTGGTGGGTTGGGTGCTAATTTGTTTGTGGTATTTGCTTCCAAATCTCAGTTTGTGTCCTTGATTTGTGGTCCAATGTGTGAATTCTAGCCTCATAAATTGAAAGTTTGGGTGGCACTGGGTGAGTGACGCAGCATATCACTCACTTGCCAGTATATCTTGACTAGGATTTAGCAGACTTTGGAAGGTAAACCTCCTCTTTCGTCCCTATCACTGCAATCCGTCGTTCTGGTAGTTATGGTGGTTATTAAGAGCCCCAGGTAATAGAGATGTATATGCAAACAAAGCAACACCTGAAGACAAATATTATGAAGCAGAAACGAGAGCCACAGGTTGCTGCTGTTGCAGCAGCAGTAACAGCAGCAAGAACAGCACCAGTAACAGCAGCAAAAACAGTAGCAGCAACAACAGTAGCAACAGCATTAAGAGCAGCAACAACAGCAGTAACAGTAGAAACAACAGTAACAGCAGCAACATCATTAACAGCAACAAAAACAGCAGCAGCAGCAACAGTAGCAGCAACAACAGCAACAGCAGCAACAGTAACAGCAGCAACAGTAACAGCAACAGCAGCAACAACAACAGCAACAACAGCAGCAGTAGCAACAACAACAGCAGCAGCAACAGCAATAACAGCAGCAACAACAGCAGCAGCAGCAGCAACAACAGCAGCAGCAATATCAGCAACAGCAACACTAGGAACAGCAGCAGCAACAGCAGAAATAGCAGCAACAGCAGCAGGTGTTGTGAAGAAGAGTACACGTGAGTGTGAGGTCACTATACACGTGACTTACTCCTCTCACTCCACCATCCTTCACTACACACAACTGGCTCCTCCTTCAGTCATGTTCCACTTACTCTCCAGGTGTCTACATGTCATTGAATGAAAACATTTCACCAGCAGGTAGTATGGAGGGTTCTAATAGTGTTGTGTAAGACAAAATGTGTACACCAGTGCTAGTGAACGCAAGAGACAATGGATAACTATGACGGCTGTGGCGGCTGCGGCGTTGATGGCGGCGGCTGCGGCGTTGATGGCGGCGGCGGTGGCGGGAACAGGTAAGAACAATATAACACCATGTCAAACCATTCTCGACTACTTCGCTGATGTAAGTATCGCCGCCGTTATTTATACATAATTGGTTTATTTGTGGTTAAATATGTTTTGTACGCTTTAACCTAACCTAAAATGACGATAACAGTATCTGGTAAACTTACAGCAAAAGTTAAGAAATTCTAATTGATTCACGTCTATTAATGTTAAAAAGCGTCCACAGGGGTGCATAATTAAGATATTAAATTACTATCTCCTTAACATAATTAAAATACGATGCAGTATTCTGTCAGGCAAAAGCAGTTCATCCAACTCTTGATCCTCTTCCAGTCTTCCTTCAATTCCCATAGAAAACTGATAACACATCTTGTCCCATTATATTTCTATTATACTCAAGAAATCGTAATGATACAACTGCAAACAAACCACGGACCTCTGGAGTTTTACGAATCAATCACTGCGAGTTCAATCCCCGCCCGTACCGTGGTTTATATTTCTACTATAACTAGCTAACTTCCTGTACCTTCATCTCTTTTCAATCACTCCACAGAACTCAAGATTATTGAATCATTTCGAAATAATAAGCCACACTTTCTGAAACTGTACCATCTGTTCATTAACTACCTTTCTTATTGTAGTTAACTACATAAGAGAACCTACTTAACAGTCTATGTCTAATTCTTAAGCAGCCTTTAAACATTAGAATTAGTTTAGGACATGAGACAGCGACTTACTGTAATTTTTGATGAATATCGAATTTTGTCTGTATTTTTAATCCCACATTGTTCCTCTGTTTCAAAAACCTGCACACTGGTGCGGAAGGGATAATCCGAATTATTGGGGGGATACCTGGAGGGTATACTTGGAGGGTATATCTGGAGGGCGTTCCGGGGGTCAACGCCCCCCGCGGCCCGGTCCACGACCAAAATCACATAAATCAATAGAACACACAAACTGATTCGCAAAAAAACTATTATTATTCTTCAATTGTTTGCCAGATTTAGTGTTAAGTTTTACCTGAGTGATGATCTTAATACCGCCAGTTGAATCACCTTAGTTAATACCACCCTTCGATCTATTTCCTTAGGTAACATTAACTGCTATTCTATCTCCTTAAGTAATACCGACAATTCTAATATTAATTTAATAATACCACTCGTATTACCCTAGCCACTGTAATACCAACTACTGTTCTTTTTTCGTAGTTAATGCCACCATCGCTCTTCATTTTTTGTTAATATTGCATATTAATCTTCTATTACAGTCAAATATAAATTCTGCAATAGCTGTTGCATTCGCAACCTCCTCTTGGTAGCGTTTCCATCTATCAGCTATTCTATTTTTAAAATACATTTCCATACCAAAATGGAGATAGAGAAAGACCTCTGGTTGATTCAATTTCAGTAAGGTTACTGACCCGTTAACAGGGGTAATATCACTTTCTCAATATACACTGCCACAGTCCTAGCACGGCACCTGCCTAGCCTTCAACATAAGACCAGCCTAGCTCTAGCCTAGGCCAACATGGCACCAGCCTAGCCCCAGCACGTCACCAGCCTAGCTGTAGCCTAGGCCAACATGGCACCAGCCTAGCCCCAACACGTCACCAACCTATCTGTAGCCTAGGCCAACATGGCACCAGCCTAACTCCAGCACGTCA